CCTTCCTGGGTGGGGGTCGCAGCGAATGCGCTCCGCCTGATGGAGGGGTGGGAGGTGGCAGCGGACCAGCCGAGGACCGGGTCGGCTGTGTGAGGTCCCTTTCCTGGAATGAGCGTGGTGTAAGCGGAGACGGCGGTTTAAAGGGCTACGAGGCCCTCGCAGCGAGCGGGGGCTTCACAGGACATCAAGTCCTTCCAGGCAGGGAAGAAGAGGGATCCAAATTGGGTTTATTAGGGTGGGGGAGGGCGGGCCTGAGCTCACCAGAGGGAACTCGCTCTTACAGACACTTGAATCACCTGAGAGGCAGAGGAGCAAAAGGGAAGCTAGTACGCTTTGCAGAGGAAAAATTTGGTGTGTTAGGGGAAAATCCAGTGTCACAGTGAGTGCTCAGTACTTAGCTCTGCCCGCGGGTGGGGGGCTGTAAGTAGTCCAGCTTGGGGAGTTCGCCCTGATGTTGGAAGAAAAGGCACAGTGCTACGCGATAAAGTACTGTCAGGCTGTATATTATTAGCGGAAAGAATGCAAAAATCTGTAAACGCGTGGAGCAGAGACTGAAGTGGCGCCGTGGGAAAATACCCTGGAGGAAACACAACTTGTCTTGGCATCGTGGTGTTTTAATCTGTTTGGAGAAAGGAGAATTCTGTAGGCAGGGAATACACAGGATTTGAAGGCCTGGAGATGAGGGGAAAGTGTTTCTGGAGGAAACCAAGGGCAGGCTTGTGGTGGGTAGCGTTGTGGAAAAATAGGAAATAAAGTTGGCATCAAATAATGGGGACTTTCGAATGGTACTCATTTACTTATTTCCTGAGGAAAAGCTAGGATCTTTGTTGTCAGAGAGCTGAGAGTCAGATGGAGGAGGTAGACTTTAATAATCATGTAGATGTGAAACGCGCTTTGAAGGAATAACAGCGGTGTGAATGTGACTCTTAGGAAGATTGGAAGTTGTTGCTGAAGATATGACGAGTGGATGTGAAGGTAGGAGAAAAAAGAACACTCCACACAGGAAGCAGTGTGTGCCGAGGCCCTGGGTTACGGGCAGGTATAAAACCGGAAGGTTGGGGCAGGGCTGGGGTGGCTGGAGAGGGCACGTGTGGAACAGTGATTTGAGAGGTGCGAGGGGAGAGCTGGCTTTTATTCTAAAGGGAGAGAGAAACTTGTGAGGATTATGGGTAGCAGGGTGAGTCACACTGTGGTTCTGAGAGGATAGTTTCGTGGTGGAGCCTGAGGGTGGAGAGGTGAATTTGGGAGACCAGCTCAGGGGCCATTGGGTTTTTTTGTTGTACATTTTAGGCTTATAATACGGTTACATTCATCATTAGGATCTTGTACCTTTACATGATATGTCTTGCTTATTTTTCCCCATTCCCCTGCCCTCCCTTCACCCCCTTCACCCTTTCCTATTTACAAAGACTCTGTTTCCATGTTTTTTCTTCGCTTTGCTTTGCTTTCCCCTACCCCTCCCATTTCCCCTACTCCTTTAGACGTTTTCTTCCTATTTCACAGTATGAATTATACATTTTTAAAATTGAGTTTATTGGTACATTTTAGGCATACAGTACAGTTACTTTCATTATTGAGATCTTGTACCTTTGCATGACGGGTCTTGGTACATTTTGTTTTTGTTTTTGTTTGTGGTACTGAGGATTGAACTTGGGACCTTGTGCTTGCCAGGCAGGTGCCGGAACCACTGAGCTAAATATCCAGCCCTAAGTTACACATTTTGATCCTTATTTACGCTTTTAGATTTTCACACCAGGGAAACGATTTGGTTTTTACACATGTGTGTCCTATTTATTTCACTTAAGAGTATGGCCTCAGTGTGCATCCACTTAAGCTATAAATGTCTCTAGTTTCTCATTCTTTATGGCTGAGTAGTACTCCATTTTATTAAAAAAAACCCAAATCTTTATCCAGTCTCCATCTGATGGACAATTGGGCTGTTTCCAAGTTTTAGCCCTTACAAACTGTGCCGCTACAAACATGGGTACGCATCTATCGCTGTGGTATGATTCTTTTAATTCTTTTGGGAAGATACCCAGCAGAGGGATGGCTGGGTCAAATGGGACCTCTAACCCTAATTGTTTGAAGCATCTCCACACTGATTTCCACAGTGGTTGCACCAGTCTGCTCTGCCACCAGCAATGAAGAAGGATTCCTTTCTCTCGGAGGCCATTGTTATAATTCACTGAAGGATTCGAAGTCTTCCTTCTTGCTCTGCCAAGGACTCAAGAAGAATGTTTAACTGTACTCACTTTTAGTGGGGTTGAGGAATTGGGGAAGGGAAGAATGTTGAGGTTGTATTTGCTGCCTCCTTGAGCTTAGTTACAGCTCCTTCCTAAGCAGCCCTGAAGGGCATACATGGAGCAGATGGGCTCATTTTAGACTTGGTAGGAGATTCTTTGCAAAGCTGTTTTGGTCTTTCAGAGATGCTTTTTACTACCATCTATATCACAATAGCTTTTACTGACATGTAGCCAGTCCTAAGTTTCCTTCATGTTTATTTTGTGCTCACAGGTCTGTGAGGGCAGTTGAAAATGCTCGTCTGAGTATAGCTAGGAACCTATCAGGAGGCCCTTGGAGCGGGAAGCCAGGGGAGACCGCTTTGCCCGATGTTAACATTACTTCCGCAGTCTTCTACCACAATCCCAGCTGGGGAGAAGGATGTGCTTTTATCTTTGACTTGACACTTTGGTGAATTTTGTCTAGTAGGACAGCTTCAAGGAGTTTGATGATCGTGGCCTGCACTTTAGAAACTGCTCTTCTGTGAGCTTGGGTTAAACACTTCCACTTGTGTCTAGCTGGGGACGATAAGAGCAGCAGGGTAGCTGACAGTGCTCAAGGTGTCAGTCACAGTTCTCTGGCAGTTGGTGAGTCAAGAATCGTGCTGAAGACTGAGCGCGGGATTGTGTCTGAGACTGTGGGATCTTTTTCCTGTTGGGTCTTCCAGAGGTTGGACAGGAGAAACAGTACTGGATGTTAACTGAATGCTGAGAGCTGAGGTTTAGTGTAATTCTGCTTTTAAAACTGAGCAGGAAATACTGATTTTTAAATTTTTTAATGTATAAATCTTAGGAGCCCTATTTGTATTAGGTTGTTTTTTTTTGTTTGTTTGTTTTTTGAGACAGTATCTCACTATGTAGTTGAGACTGACCTGGAACTCACTATGTAGCCCAGGCTGGTCTCGAACTCACAGTGATCCTCCTGCCTCAGCCTCCCGAGTGCTGGGATTACAGGCATGCACCACCACGCCTGGCTCTGTATTAGTTTTTAAACCCAAAAAGAATCATCTGGGCTTCATAAATTTGATTCTGTGATTATTTCAACTTGTGACATAATTCCATTGTTCAAAGGGAAAAGCTGGGTTTCCAGGATAACGCTTTGCAGGTGGGTCTTCTTGCAGGCCACCAGTCCAAAGCAGATGGGCTTCCTTTGGGACTTGACTTTAGGAGTAACAAGAGTTTTGACTGAGTACTTCCTAGTTAGAATTTTGTTCTTTTGTGTATTCAGATCTACCTGCAGGATGCATCGTTTTCACCTTTTGGATGTGAAATTCCATGTCATTTTTTTTCCTCATTGAAGTCATGTCATTTTTGTTATAAAATAATCCATGTTATATTTCTATTTCAAGGTGTTTTTAAGATGTAGAGCTGGGTTTAGTGGTGGCACATACCTCTAATCCCAGCACTAGGGAGGCTGAGGCAGGAGGATTGCCACAAGTTTGAGGTCAGCCTGGGCTGCCCAGCAAGTTCAAGGTCAGCCTAGAGTACATAGCAAGACCCTGTCTAAAATTAAAAAACCAAAACCAAACAAACATTGAGAAAATACATAGAAATGGTTAGCATAGTGTCCTTGGAAAGAGCACAGGCAATGAGCCAGGATAATCTTAAAATTTTCTGTTGACATGAATGATCCTTGGAACTGGAAGTTTCAAACTGTATTTTTTATAACGAACAGAATTCTTCTCCAATAGGGAGTCTACTCGTGTTACGCCATTGCGCAGAGGAGCTGTACACAATGGGTCAGGTGGGTAGCAGAGGAGAAGTGCTCGTGTTGCACCTGGGGATAAAACATGGAGCATTAGCTGTGTACCTAAACAGCAGCTGCGTGCGTGTGTGTGTGTGTGTGTGTGTGTGTGTGTGTGTATGAGAGAGAGAGACAATAAAATGCCATGTGAGTGCAGAAGTCTTTCATAGAAAGATGGAGATACCTTTTCTCCGATATTTTAAACAGACTGTTAGTGACTAGGAAGTTATTTGTGAATTAGACTAGCAGGTATGTTGACTTTACCATGAAAGGTTTTCTCCTGGACTAGCCTGTAGTGTGTGTTTCTGCCTGGGTGCTGTTGGCATTTTGGACAGGATGCTCCGTGTTTGCTCCGCCTTGCTGACTGTAAGCCTCCCGTCCATTTCCAAGTTCTCCTGGGGAAGAGGGCTACCACTTGGTTGCAAAACGTGCAGGTGGTGCCATCTTCTTTGTTTTGTTTTTTTATTTTTGGAGAGAGACTGAATGTTGCTCCAGAGAAGAGTAATATTTTTAAGTGATTCAGTTTTTGATGTTTTAATGCACCTCTTTCAGTACAAAGCTACAGAAAGTGTATTTTAATGTTTGTGGAACTTCTCTGTCGCAGAAGCTGCGTGAATAGCTCAAGCAGGTTCCCTTTCATTCTAATAAAATATAGGCCAGAGCTGTGAGGCCTTGAGCAGGCCGTTTCCTTAGTTGCTCTGCTCGCTGGAGTGCCTGTCACTGCACACCGCATGTAGCAGGTGCAGCAGGTGCTCGTCCTTGAGTCTCAGACTCTGGGTGTGGGGAGGTGAGAGAAGCTCTAATGTGATGCAGACACTGTGTATAGCAGAGGTGCCCCCCTTTGGTAGAATGCGGTATCGGATCAGTCATAATTCTACATGACCATTATGACCAATCTGAAAGACAGGGAAGTAAGTAAGGTTTCGGGAGCCATGAGTGTAATTCAGGGGATTCCCAGACAGGCATGGGAGGAGTGAGTTGCTGTCTGGGTCACTGTGGAGTCTGGGTGCAGTGAAGTCTCTGATGCTGACTTCCGATGACAGCCTACAGCACTCCAGTGGGGCGTCTGCCTGTTCCGCCAGCCTTGCTGGAAATGCCCAGAAGCTCCAGCACAGTGCTTGTGCCCCCAACCCCCCGCGCCTTGCGCTGGGCATCTGTGTGAAAGTAAGGCTCTCCACTTACAGCTTTCTCTCTCGTCAGCCACAGAATGAATAGGTGGTACTTAATAAGATTCATCTATTACAGATTAGATTTTCTTTTATGTGTAAGTATACTTATGACAGGAAATTCAGATAGGCCTTAGTGGGTTACAGAGCCTTTGAAATAGTAATTTCAGTTGCAAACAAAACTTGCAGAAGTGAAGATTTATTTAATGAAGATATATGTTCTGACAGTTTTAAACTTTACTTCTGTAAGAATCATGGAAATACTCCTTGGAAGGTATAGTCCCCGTTAGTTATTGGAAATATGTTAAACAGTCATTGTGAGCAGTCCCCTCCCAGTGTTTCATTGAAGGTGCCGCGCCATTTGAAGGATAAACTTTGTGTGCTCAGAAAAGAGAGTTATTTGTATATATTAATGATTTTTAGGGTAGGATTGGGAAATTTTATTTTTATTTATTTATTTTGGTTTTTTTTGAGATAGGGTCTCACTATGTGGTTGAGACTGAACTGGAACTCACTATGTAGCCCAGGCTGGTCTGGAACTCGCAGCGATCCTCCTGCCTCAGCCTCCCAAGTGCTGGAATTACAGGAGTGCACCACCATGCCTGGCGGATTGGGATATTTTTAAAATGAATGGTTTGTAGGAAATGGTCTCATATGAATTCTGTTAAAGTTGAAATTATTATTTGGAAGGCCATGTGGTATCTCTTGCGGGGGCAGGAGAAGCAAGTCATATCATGCACTGTACAAATGCCATGTGGTGAATGTTATTGTGTGTATCTAAAATGTACCAGTACAGGCTTTGGTAAAAAAGGGATACCTGAGACACGCCCCTTCTTATGGGCGTTGAAATAAGCCGGTTCAGGAGACGTGTTGCCTGAAGGGGCTTGTCCAGACTTCTGGTGCCCACGAGCCTCATATGAAATGGATAGTAGTTGCCTGTCACCTGGGCGAGCAATTGTGAAGTTATCTCTAGATCTCGGGCCGCCTAGCGCAGTGAGCGTGCTGTGTAGGCAGTCGCTCTGTGCCCTGGAGAGAATAAGGAGAAGCGCCTGCGTCCTTAGCACCTTTCCCCCAGAAACATATATTCAGGGTGTGGTTGCTTGAATCCTCAGAGGTGGAACCTGTGGCTTTGAGGCCCAGGGACCAAGAAGGAAGTCATTCTGCATGGATTTCACCATTGATACTTACTGTGGTGTGGAGTCTAATTTACTGTGAAGGCTGACTGTACGTCACAAATGACAGTATTGGTGTCTTGAAGGCATTTAAAGGAGCCAGGTGTTGGAGCTGGGGGTGCTGTCATTGTTTGTGGCTGTCTATGTGGTCAGACCAGACCTTCCCCCGGAGGGAGCAGAGCTAGTGGGTCCGCTGTCCACGGGCAGCACCCTCTCCTTTCAAAACTGCTGCGTTTTTGTTCCTATTTTATATTTCAGTCAGTCATGGTAGGAAAATAGTTCACATCCCTCAGGCTCCCAGAAGTGAGAGATACAGTTCATAGTCCTGGGCTTTGGACCCGGGTTTACCTTTCTTTTCTCCTTTCTTGCCACTTTTCTCTTCCATTTGGAAAAAGAAATGTTACTACTTAAAAAGAAGTCAGATAGCACACTTACTACAGTCAGACAAGAAAGCAGCAGCATTGGAACCCCTGACTGTTTCCCTGCAGCCCACTCCATTGTGCTGAGGTTCCTCTCTACTTTGGCATCTGCGTGGCCCGCACTCCTACACCGGGGTGCCTGACTATTGGCCTGCCTGGTGGCGTGGAGTGAGGAGCAGGCAGAAAACCTATGTGTGTTTTGTTTATCCTGTAACACAGCTGCTAAAAATGACTTTAACTTACTAAATTATTTTGAAGTAAGAGAATTTGAGTGTGCTTAGTAACTTGAACACCTGTCTTCACAGGTGTGCACCTTTGGGGAGGTGGAGATACTGTTAGTGGCAATTGATGCTGTCCGTCACCTGCCAGGCCACACAAGCGCAGGCAATGTCTGTGCTGGGATTTGGGTTGGATTGGACTGGCTGTGTGTGGCAGATGCAGGAGGTGGAGTGGCACTGCACTGTGCCCTCCCTGCACGTGTTCTTTTGTTGCCATTGTAGTCCATGTGGAGTGATGAAATAATGAAAAATACTTCTAAAAATCACAGTAACGTTAAAGGTCCAGGCTCTCAAGGGGTGTATTCCTGGCTGTTCAGGACCCCTGCAGCTGCAGGCCACGGATATGGCCTGCACAGACCTGCCATCCCACCATTGTCATCCTGAGCACAGGAGCTCCCTCAGCTGCTCTGTACTGCTCCTCAGTACCTCCCACAGCTCTGGATTTGAGCGTATAGAACATCTATAGCGTGGATTTAACCTGCTGAGAGGGAGGCCAGGTGCATGGTAATGGCTCTGGTCTGTGAGTGGATGGATGCTGGGAAACAGTTTTGTTAAGGGAGGCTTGTGTTGAAACAGGCAGGGCAGTTGCTCTGTGGAAATGACTTGACGGGGGAAACATGGGAAATTGCAAAGGGAAGGTGGGTAGGTAAGGTAAGGTAGGTGCAGAGAGCTTAGAAGGGCAACGGCGAGGCAAATCACACCCCAACAGGGACCTGAAGCGATTACAGTGGGACTGGTGCATTTGGGTTTTATTTCCAAAAAAAGAAGCAGGCCTAGGGAACCTTGATTTTTGTGTTACTCAGCCATCACAAGAGACGAAATGCTGGTCACAGAGCCTCCTGCTGCTGGCACTTGGGGCATTTTAAATCTTTCATAAATAGATTCTTGAACAAAGCAAGAGTTCACCCACATTACTTTAGGCTCTGTAGTTTTCATGTATTGGTACTTTTTTTTTTAGTTGCCATTAAACAATAAAAAAAAAAAAAACACACCAAACTATAGTTGCCATTAAAGCAAGAATGTAGGTTGTGTGTGTGTGTGTATGTGTGTGTGTGTGTGTGTGTGTGTGTCTGTCTTCTGTGTGTATGGCTGTCAGACTCTGGAGCAGAAATCATGCTTTAGGGGAGGATTTTTTGCTCATGTCTAATTTGAGTTATATATGCCTTACTTATTTGTACGTCAAATTCTTTTTCTCTGGGAAATTTTCTGCCATTACTTCTGTGAACAGGTTTTTTTAGAATGTCATTTACACTAGCTCCTGCTTTTTCATTGACTCCAATCAGTCTTATGTTATTCTTTGCATCATCTACCAGCTGCTGGATTTATTTCTTGTGATCCCTTGCTATTTTAAAGAAACCTTTCTTTTCATGATTGCCAACTGCATTCCTGTCTTCTATATCTGCTGTTCTAGCCTCACATTGGCTCATTCTGCTATGTATACTTTCGGTGGCATTTTTAATCCCCTAGATATCTGAATCTGTTTCATTATTTCAGTTTCTTTCCTATGCTGGGCATTCATGGTTTCTATCATTTTCCTGAGTTTCTCTTATTTTTTTAAAAAATCTGTATCTTCTCTAGAGTCGCTAAGCATGTCTTTCATTCTGTTCACCATCTCTAGTTAGCTAAGAAATTATTTCTGCTTTGATTTTTTTTTTTCCTAGGGCCTCGTTCCTCTTCCTTATTACTTCTGCTGTTCCCACTTCAGAGAGTCCAAGCGACCGGCTTTTGGATTGTTCTACCTCAGTGCCACCTGGGTTTGCCTTTGGTAAGCTGGAAGTCTGGCGGGGGGGTGGCTGTATCTTGTTTAGGTGTTATTTTCTGGGTTTGTTTGTTTTGTTTGTTTAACATTTAATTCCTGGGTTGATGCTTGTAAATTGCTTATTATGGCCAGTAGCTATACTGCCAATGTTCTGAACCCTTAGGAAATGACTGTTGCTCAGCAGTATCTTCCAGGTGTAGCTAGCTTTTGGGTTTTCAGTCTGTTTCAAAGTCTTGTCTCTTCAATTTACTGGGGATGAGAAGTTTCTGCCTACTTGGCCCAGCCGCCAGTTGTTTGGTGCTAGCCTGTATTTTCTTTTTTTAAGACCCTTAGGCACTGTCTTGGTATACCAGGAAGAATAACTGGTGAGCACAGTTATGTCACCATGACTAAAGCAATCAGCAATAACAGTAGCATCAAATACAGCCTAGAAAATGACAAACTGTGGCAACTATGAATTTGCCACCTTTAACCATCTGAATTGGATTTGTGGTTATATAACAAAATCTAAGAGGACCCAGAAAATTGAATGCAATAGATAAGACCTTAAGGGCAATTTTACCCTTAGGGGAGAAGATTTGAGAGGGGTGGGGGAAAGAGAGAGATACAAGAAGAGGAAGAGATTAGAAGCAAGGCTGGAGGACCAAGGAAGATCATACAAACTTCGGGAAACTAGTGAAGAAGACAGGAGGGAAAGAGAAAGGAAGAAACAAAAACCAGAACAGATAAACAACAGAAACAGAAGCCATGTTTAGACAATCAAGAAAAAACAAAACAGGGCCAGGGATTTAGCTCAGTGGTTCTCCTTCCTGCCTTGCAAGCACAAGGGCCTGAGTTTGATCCCCAGTACCAAAGAAAAAAAAGAAGAAAAAACAAAACAAAGGAACGACAAGAACCAGGAAAGAGAAAAAAGGAAAAGAAAAAAGCCTAATTCAAAGCGTGTCTCAGTTGTCCTTGGTGGACCCTGAGGGTAGACAGAGTATTGAGACAAATTGATTAATCCCAGTAAGCCAGCCATAGGTTTGTGGTAGGATAGTAGTTAATCCCAGCTGGGCTGCACCTTTAGTTCTGCTAAATTTGGGTTGGTTTCTGATCATGAGGCTGGGACCAGGTGTTTTGAGCCTGCTTAAACTCTGCTCCCTGACCTCCCACTGACTTGAACTTGGCACCCGCATCGAGACACTGGGAGCCACTAGATGGAGTTGGCCCATAGCTTTTCTGAGTTCTGAGCTCATTTGGCCCCTCTCCAAGATGGCTACCAGCTGGTCACCCTCTCCTTTACTGTCCACTGCTCCGTTCCCCTGGTGCCTCTCTCCATGGAGGCCTCTGGGGTTGCCAGTAGTCACCGTGCATCTGCAGGGTTGAGCCGCCATTCCCACACCATGAGTCCAGGCTGTGGGAGGAAACTTCTTCTTACCTCCCTCTTTGTTGAGGCCTCTCTCTTCACTCTCCCTATGGACTTCAGTTCTTACTTCAGATCCTTCCTGGGCTATGGGGATCCTCTTCTCTTCTCTTTGCGTCCCTATATTCCAATGTCAGGACACTGAGTCTCAGAGAGGCTCTTTCTCTGCTGCTGCTCACCACTCTGGCATCTTCTTGGAAGTTACAGAAATCATGTTCTTGCTGGGTGTGGTGGCTCACATCTGTAATCCCAGCACTCTGGAGGCTGAGGCAGGCGGATCGCTGTGAGCTTGGGACCAGCCTGGGCTAGTCAGTTCCAGGTCAGTCTCAACTGCATAGTGAGACCTTATCTCACCCTCCCCCATCACATGTTCTAGGACTCCTAACACTGTGTGGCTCTTGGTGATGATGTAGTATCCAGCCCTCATTTATTAGAGTATTCCCTTTCCTGTAACACTGACTTCGCTGCTTAATCATGGAGGTGGCTGTATTTAGACAGAGCTTCTGAAACCTGACCAAGCATCTGATTTCCCTGAAGGACTGCATGAGAAAATAGAGAAAAGAAAGTCTGGGACTCACACCATCTATATTCAGGACATGTGGGTAGATAGTGTAATCTAAGCTTCTTGTTCCACAGATGAAAAATGTATGCAGATGATGTGAAGGCCTGGGGATAGAGTCTGAGTCTCCTGTCCCAGGTGGCACTCTTGCTGGTCTGCTTGCTTCCTGAGGTGGGAATTTGGGTTTTCTCTAGTCTCGGTGAGGTAGACAGACTGTAGCCCTGCCTTGGTCTTGAGCTTTGGTTGCAGCTCCTCTTAACCAGCTCTGTCCTCCTCTTCTGTATCATCTCTAGTGTTCTTTGTCACCATACTGTTGAATAGTTAAACTCTTCAGTGTTTTCAAGTAGGAGGATACTGTGGTAATGAGGGTGCAGCTTTTTAATATTTACGTGTAGTCATTCACTGTTTAAAAATTAGGACACAGGAATATACACAAAGAATGAAAATGATCATAATTCATTTCCAATGTTATTCTAATAACTTTTTAATTAATGTTTATACTTGTGTCCTTAATTCCTTTTTTAAGGTTGGTACAGCTAGGCCAAAGGATATGCATATTTTTATGGCTTTTTCCGTGTGTAATATTGCCAAGTTGTCTTTTAGAAAGTTGTCTTTTGTCCATCTTTTTTTTATAATCCACAGATTTTTCTTGGGTTTTTGTATATATAATTATTTTACCTAGTGACTACATAGTATATTTAAAAATTTATTTTAGTTATTTACAGCAACTTGTGATAGCTTCATCAATGCTTTGAATTAAATTTATATTGTACCAGTCAGGATACCTTGCCACATGTTTGCAAGTTAATGTCACAGTCACCAACGTGGGAGATATTTGTTCAGGCTGCATCTGTTTCTATAAACAATAGGGCTGGGGATTTAGCTCGGTGGTTCCGCCACCTGCCTCACAAGTGCAAAGTCCTGAGTTCGATCCCTGGTGCCAAAAAAACACGAAAGAACAATATCTGTCACCTTATTACCAAAGGAACACATGTTCATGGTTTTGCTCTGTCTTCACCAAACAGTGTACTTCAGTCTTTCAGCCCAGACTTGCTAGATTTTTGGTGTTCATTGTCATTAATTGTTTTCTGTCATATAGTAAAACACAGGACCAAGAGACTGGGAGGTTGTGACCAAATCCTTGCACAGAAATAAACAGCAATTTGATAGCAAAATTCCAAACTCATGAGTAAATATGCATGGCAAAGCTAGCCAAAACTTCTCAGACTTATTTCTCACCATTGATAGCCACGGGCCTGGGCAGCCATGGGGAGAAATGGCTTCCACACAGGTGCCAGCAGGCAGGACAGGAATGGAGAAAGGAGACAGGAATGAGCTCTCAGATCTCCACACTTTGTCCCTGCAGACACCTGCACTATGGCTTGGGAAGGGAAAGCCCAGCAGGGTTGATCCTGTGGACTCAGGGGGACTTGGTGGCAGTGGAGGGTGGGGGCTCGCTTGGCTGGGATTTGCGGAGGGGGATCAAGGCTGACACATCAGTCCCAGAAGCTGCTCTCTACAAAGCCCTAGGACCAGCAAATAGTGAGTTGGTAGAGAACTTTAACGCATCCCATATGAATTGTGGGCCTGTCATGACCGTGTCAAACTGGAGGCTGGGGCAGCCAAGAGACTTCCCCACAGTTCAGAGCTTAGTAAAGTTAATAAAGCCCTGGGACCCATTCTGTGTTTAAAAAAAGCTCTGAGTGGATCAGGCCGATCCAGTGTAACTCAGCTGCCTTTTAAAGGACGACAGCAGACTCCAGCAGTCGACAGTGTGGCACTGTAAATTATATGCTCAGTGACTTAATAAGAGTAGAGTGAGGAAGAAATAGAAGGTTTTAAAAAATGGAATTTATAAAGCAGAAAAGTGCACCTGAGTGTTCATTAGAAGAGGCAAATGGCAGGTTTGATACCTGACAGAAAGGTCAGCAAAATAAAAGCCAGAGCAAGAGGCTCTCCAGGTGAGTGCACAGGGGGAAAAGAACACACACAAAAAATGGAAGGTAGGTGACCTGGGGGACCTGGTGTGTTAGCATGAATCAATTTTTGTTTCAAGGGAGAGGGAGAATGGAAAAAAAATACCCTAAGAACATAGTGGCTGAACAGTGTCCAAATTTGATGAGAAACTATAAACACAAACCCAAGAAACTCAGCAGATTCCAAGCAAGGTAAATAAATAGTTGTGCTCTTGATCTAGGCACAGTTTACATTGCCACAGAAAGCATCTGTTACTTTAAAAAGATTGATAAATCAACATGAGTAGAGTAAAACTTATTTCAAAGAACAGTTCAGAAAAGGCAGGCTAAGGAAGCTTTTCTCATGGCCTCCAGCATGTGCCTTCATCTTGATTTTCCTCAGCACAGGCTTTGCAGAGCCAGTTTCTCCCTCCCTCTTCACGTTTACTTTTTCACATAAACTTTGCCACTGCTTAAAAAACAAGAAAAGGCAAGCCACAGTGAGGAAACTTGTAGGACCATGTGTATGTGGTACACTGGCATCTGCACCTTCCTGTCCTCTGGGGGTTCACGTGGGACGGCGCAGTGGCCAGTGTGGTGGACTCCTATGAGGCATGGCCTCATGGGAGTGCCCCAGGTCACTGGCTGTGTCCAGGGAGAGGATGGGACCCCAGTTGCTCTAGCCCACCACATTCTCCCACTGTGATGTGTGGCTGTCACAGGCCTCAGAGCACAGCTCGAATCCCTAAGACTGAGTGGAAATAAAGCTTTTCTCTGTATACGTTGATTGTCTTGGGTATTTGTTATAGTGGTATGAAGCTAAGGTGGTCTGTGTGTCTATCACAGACTATATTGATGTACCAAAGAATTGTACAGTAATAGGACAGCTCAGTCTTTTTAAAGAATTGGGCAGAAGATTTGAAGAGAAACTGCACCAAAGGAGGGAAAAGGGTACAGAAATCAAAGGATCTTGGACTTCCATCAGTCACTGGGGAAAGCCATTGGGAGGTGTCGGAGCCCTGCCACCCGTTAGAATGACAGTAGAGAGACTGTGATCACTAAGTGTTGGTCAGAGCCTGTGGAGCAGCTG